TATATGATTTTTCTAATCATAATATGCTTATCGTGCAGCGACAGAGAGTAAATATATATTATTTTCTTGTCAAATGCAATTATACTGTTCTCGGCAAAAGTAAATTGTACAGCGTGGAACTGTCCACATTGAAATAATGGTCACCCTAAAGATATTCAAGAACATTTTTATATTTTATTAGATGTAAACGCTACATAGGATTCGTGTAATGTCGCGGTTGACATTTTTATATTTTTTTATTAGATGTACACCCTAAAGATATTCAAGAACATTTTTTTTTATTAGATGTACACCCGTAATCATTGATGAACAAATGGTGTATTTGTCTAATTTTCAAAATTATTTCACAAAGAATTTGAAGTGTTCAATAATCTATCTAACTTTTCCAACCAATGATGTGAATGGCCTTAGAATACTTTCTATACGTGGTATGGTGTAATTCTCAAAAATAAAAATCCGTGTCTTATAAAGATAAACATATCATAAAATAGTTAGGAAATATCATTGGTATGATTAAGGTAACGCCACAATGGTTAGCTACGAAGAAGCATTTATCGAATCTGCCAAATCATTTCACAAACTCACAAAGAAGTTTGAAACGTCCAGTTTTTTTTTCTTTTATATAAAAAATAAGGTAATAAAGAACAAACAACGGGAGAAAAAGACGTGAGCTGAGAATCCGAGGGCTGAAACCCACGCGCTCTCCAACTCCGATCCCGAAAACGCCGACTCCTCTGTTTCGTCCGGCACGCGCTCGCGCAACGCAAACGCAGCCCTTCGTCCTGCCACCGCCGGGCCGCCCCGGCTATATAAACCCTGCACCCGATTTCCCGCCTCCTCACAATCCCAAGTCTCATCACGAGGACAAGAATTAGCAGCACTCCTCGCTCTCCCCATCAATTCCGGCGAATTCAGTAGTCGGACAGCGCCCCTCGTCCAACCGATCGGTCAGTCCGCCGATCAACCACCACGAGCTTGCTTGCTTCACTGCGATCGATGGAGACCGCCACCGTCGTCGTCGCGCCGGCTCCGGTGGCCATCGCCCAGCCACCGCAGCACAAGCTTATGGAATTGAAGCCTTCCTTTCCCGCCGTGGCGAAACCGTCGCCGGCGAGGAAGGCCAAGCCGGCCAAGAAGAAGCTCGCCGGCGGCTGCGGCGGGTACGTCCTTGAGGACGTCCCGCACCTCACCGACTACCTTCCCGAGCTCAAGGTGAGTCCGAAGTTAATTCATCTAATCATCTTTCTTGACAAAAGAGAGAAAAGATTGCTTTATTAATCAGATGGATTGCGTTTGTTCATGTGCAGAGCTACCCGAATCCCCTGCAAGACCACCCTGCCTACTCTGTTGTCAAGTAAGCAGTTCGAATTCTTGTTCTACCGTCTTCGATTTCTTGTTTCTTGTTAAAATCAATTAAATAAATCCGGTTTGCTGAATCGCGTCGCTCCGACCGCGCAGGCAGTACTTCGTGAACCCGGACGACACGGTGGCGAAGAAGATCGTGGTGCACAAGAGCAGCGCGCGCGGGACGCACTTCCGTCGCGCCGGCCCGCGGCAGCGCGTCTACTTCCAGCCCGACGAGGTGACGGCGGCGATCGTCACCTGCGGCGGCCTGTGCCCGGGCCTCAACACCGTGATCCGCGAGCTCGTGTGCGGCCTCCACGACATGTACGGCGTGACCAGCATCTACGGCATCGAGGGCGGGTACAAGGGGTTCTACGCGCGCAACACGGTGGAGCTGACGCCGCGCTCCGTGAACGACATCCACAAGCGCGGTGGCACGGTGCTGGGCACCTCCCGCGGCGGCCAGGACACGGCCAAGATCGTGGACAGCATCCAGGACCGCGGCGTGAACCAGGTGTACATCATCGGCGGCGACGGCACGCAGAAGGGCGCGGCGTCCATCCACGAGGAGGTGCAGCGGCGCGGGCTCAAGTGCGCCGTGGTCGGCGTGCCCAAGACTATCGACAACGACATCGCCGTCATCGACAAGTCGTTCGGCTTCGACACCGCCGTGGAGGAGGCGCAGCGCGCCATCAACGCGGCGCACGTCGAGGCCGAGAGCGCCGAGAACGGCATCGGGGTCGTCAAGCTCATGGGCCGCAACAGCGGCTTCATCGCCATGTACGCCACGCTCGCCAGCCGCGACGTCGACTGCTGCCTCATCCCGGAGTCGCCCTTCTACCTCGAGGGGAAGGGCGGCCTGCTCGAGTTCGTGGAGAAGCGCCTCCGCGACAACGGCCACATGGTCATCGTCGTGGCCGAGGGTGCCGGCCAGGACCTCATCGCCAAGAGCATGAACTTCGCCGACACCCACGATGCCTCCGGCAACAAGGTGCTCCTCGACGTCGGGCTCTGGCTCTCCCATAAGATCAAGGAGCATTTCAAGAAGAAGCCCAGCTTCCCCATCACCCTCAAGTACATCGACCCGACGTACATGATCCGCGCCGTGCCGTCCAACGCCTCCGACAACGTCTACTGCACGCTGCTGGCGCACAGCGCCCTGCACGGCGCCATGGCCGGGTACACCGGCTTCACAGTCGCGCCGGTCAACGGCAGGCACGCCTACATCCCCTTCTACGTAAGCCCCCTCAGTCTCAAATCCAAGTAGCTTTTCACCATGAAATTTCTACTCTCCCTCCCTGCAGTAGTGAACTGACCTTGTCTGTCCGGCCATTGAATCTCTTCTTGCAGAGGATCACCGAGAAGCAGAACAAGGTGGTGATCACGGACAGGATGTGGGCGCGGGTGCTGTGCTCGACGAACCAGCCGTGCTTCCTGACGCACGAGGACGTCGAGGGCGCGGGGCTGGACGAGGAGGAGCCGCAGATACCACTCGTTGAGGGCGAGAACGCCTTGGTCAGGAACCCGTCCATGTGCAACGGCAATGGCCACCTCTGCAATGGCGCGGCCTGAAGGCGCAGGGACAATTCGTTCACATGTTTACGCAAATTGCAAAACTAAGGGTCCAAATGTGGTTGTGATGTAGGATGTCTTGGTAGCTTCCTTTTATTCATTCTTTGGTTGATGTAGAAAGATGTATACCAAGTATTGGCAAGAGGAGAATAACTTTTTTTGTGCTGAATCCGCAGCATTGTGACGGCTAGGTGACAGTGCTCACTTGCTCAACAGAACTTGACACGATTTATCGGCAAAACAGAGCATCGAACAAAAAGAAATTCTATGTTTTCGCTCCTCCATAGCTGTATAATTCACTGTATTTGCAGTTTATAGTATATATACCAAAAAAATTAAGCAACTCTGTACAAATTTCACAAACACCTTGACATAGTTTTGCTAGGTATTTTCAACAAATGAAATTCATCCTATCTATTCCATCAAAAGCCATTTTCTGTTTCTTCCGCCAAATCCAGCAGCAAAAAAGGAGCAGTTTATTTCACGGAACATTCAATTCTTAGCAAAAGTAGAATGTTGACCAAATGATGTGGAGCCTGAGAAAAGATAAGCAAGACATTAGCAAAAATACTGGAAACAAAATATTGTAATTTTTTGTACATTATGAACAAGTGCCTAGGGGGCCTAGAAATATAGTGATGAGCATAGATATATGCTTTGTTTAGGGCTTGTTTAGATTCCAAAAATTTTTGCGCAGTACCCATCACATCGAATCTTGCGGCACATGCATGGAGTACTAAATGTAGACGAAAAAAAAACTAATTGCACAGTTGAGTGAGAAATCGCGAGACGAAACTTTCGAACCTAATTAGTCCATAATTAGACACTAATTGCCAAATACAAACAAACGGGCTACAGTACCCAAAATCAAAAAAATTTGGCATCTAAACGCGGCCTTAGTCTATAAGTGATCTTCTACTGTGACCGTAGCTTTATTTTAAAGACAACTCGAATTAAAAGAGTATCTCAAATCTGCTATTTAGCTATTCTCACGTGGTGAAAATCGCATATTTAGGGTGAATTGAACACCACAGTGCGACGGATCAAAATGATCTCCCCTTTGAATTGATGATTCTCCTATGGAAAGTACCTTGGCTTTGCCAAGCAGGCCTTTGTTATGGTGTCACAACGAATAGTCCCAACAATGTCGATCACGAATATAACCTGCCAAATATGATTCTTTCCATAAAGAAAAGCTAATGACTTAATTACGGCTATCTGTTTTTTTTCGCCCGCAGAGCCACTCCCTCCCCTTGTCCATGTCTTCCACCTCTTCTCTCTCTCCCTCTCCCAGGCAACCTCCTCCCGACGGCCGCGCCCGACGAGCTCCTCCCCGCGCGCCGCGCCCCACCGCCTCCCCATGACCGTGCCGAGCTCCTCCCCCCACCCGCGTTGAGCTCCTTCCCCCAGAGTGCGTCGACCATGGCGGATCCGGCGGCGGCCTTGGTGGATCCGGCGAGGTAGGCTGACCAGGCGAAGGGGATGGTTGGAGGGTAGTTAGGGGCCTTGGCGGCGGTGGAGGCAACTGGACCGGGGCAGGACGGGGGAGTTCCGGCGAGGGGGAAGGTGGCCGTTGTGAGTGCTAGGGCTTGGCCAGAGCTCCGCGGCCGAGGTGAGGGTCGCCGGCGAGGAGGAAGAAGGGGAAGGGGGTGGCACGAAGTACTCCCTCCATCTTAAAAAAAAGTCGTTATGGGATGCGTGAATGTCAAACTTTCTCAACTTTGACTAGGTTTGTAGAAAATACGTGCAACATTTATATTTTCAAATAAGTTTATTATGAAAGTATATTCAACGATCTATCTAATGATATTAATTATGTAATATAATTATTAATATTGTTTTACATATAATATAATTGATCAAAGTTAAAAGAAATTTACTTCTTGGGAAGCGATAATGACTTCTATTTTGGGAAAGAGGGAATACACGACAGTCGTGCGTTAGGCAACCGTGTCCAAAAGAAAACTCAAGGGCTGATTTTAGGGAAAATCATGATATGTTATGCAGATGGTACAATACACATTCAAATCATATATAGACGTTTATTCCATTATATTGCCACAAGTGGCGTTACATAAAGCCAGTCACTGTGCAGCTGAATGAACAACGTAGCCTGCACAATTGGTTCCTATGGCCAAGGCGTTCCCACACATTCTTGTTACCCTAGCCCATTTCCATAGATCAATTTTTGCCTTGTCCTGGTCAGTAAACTGCTGACAAATATTTACGACGTTTGCTCGTCGTACGTCCTGGCAGCAGAGGCTACTATATTTCGGGTCCGGTGTACCGAGATTTTTGAAGATGTAAAACCTGCAGTTTTGCATGATGTCGTCTTTCACGTCCAGCACCTGGTACGCGCTGGAGTTAGAAGAGACTATCGCAAAGATGACGAGGATGATGCACATGTACACTCCTGTCGCTCTAGCACTACCCATCTTTCTTCTGTGTTTTGATCGATGTGCTGTACAGATGACTCATGCACTCTATGGTTCTATATATACCACGGCAGTGCGGTGCAGATCCTTTTAATGGAATCAGTATCTATTTGTTTTTATTTAGTATTGTTATTATGGAATCCATGGTAGCATCATTTGCACCTTTGCTTTTAATAAGAAATCTAAAATATAATAATTAGCATATATATTATATGCTACATAAAAAAACTAAGATATCTAATCATTAATTTCAACTGCTTAGAGTATCTCCAAGAGACTCTCCATATCCTTCCTAAATGTTAGGAATAGAGATTTTAGTAAAAAACTATTCTCCAACAGCTTGTCTAAATAGTCATCCAAGTATAGTCATCTTTTATTCCGGATTTTTCGTTAGCCAAAAATAGAAGACGAGAATGACTCTCTAGAGTGCGCATGAGATATAGAAAAACTGTTGGAGAGTGAAAAAATATAGAAAGTGATTTTTATGTAAATGGCTTTCCAAATAATAATTTAGAGGGTGAGATTTAGAAAAGCTAGCTTTTGGAGATGCTCTTATGAAAGATATAGGCCCGTGGAATCTTCAAATATAGTGCCATCTATTAGTAATAGATAGTATATAACTAGGGTGTATTAGCTCGATATCTCGATCCCATAAATACCGGGTATACTTTTTGCAAAAAAAAATACAGGGTATACTTCCTTGGTCTGAAAAATACTGATGTTTTAGGATCTAGTAAGAGAGATTAATGGATAAATAAATTGTTGTATCCATGGTAGCTGCATTTGTATTCTAACGAGGACAACATACTTACACCCTTGCATTTAATAACAAATCTAGAATATAATAATTAGGTTATGTACTCCCTCCGATCTAAATTATAAGTTATTTTGATTTTTTTGGTACACTTATTTTACCATGCATTTAGATATAATAATATGTCTAGATACATAACATAATGGATGAGCCAAAAAAAAAGTCAAAATGACTTATAATTTAGAATGAAGAGAGTATTATATATATTCCATCCAAAATACTAAGATATCTAGTCATTAATTTGAATGGCTTATGGAAGATATAAGTCCATGGAATTTTCAAATCTAGTCGCATTTATTAGTAATAGATATCCGTTCTAAATTATAAGTCACTTTGACTTTTTTTATTCATCAATTTTCCCATATTATTATATCTAGATGCATAGCAAAATGAATGTATGAAAAAGTCAAAGCGACTTATAATTTGGAACGAAGGAAGTAGATAACTAGAGTATACTCTCTCTCTCTCGGCCGATAAATATAGGGTATACTTCATCCTAAAAATACTAATATTTTAGGATTTAGTAAGAGAGATCGGTGGATATGTAATGAACTGTAGTATCCATGGTAGCAGCACTGTACCCAACGAGGATAACATACATAGACCCTTGCATTTAATAAGAAATCTAGAATATAATAATTAGTATATTATATATGTTTCATCCAAAAAAACAAATATATCTAATCATTAATTTTGAACCGCTTAGGCCAATCTCAATGGGATGTCATGGGAGTTTCATGGATATTAAATAGGGTGACACATCAGCAAAAATAGAGTTTTTGGTCCCTATTGATGAGGAGAGAAAAGAAAAACGTTTCATTGGCCACAAAACGAGTGGGCTCTGTTTCCAAGTCGTCGGAAACTGGATGACACCACTGAGGGCCTTCCTTTTGTTTCTAGTGTGAGATGAAAGTTATTCTATGAAACTGTGAGATGAAACTGTGCACTGAGACCCTGTTTGATTTCTAATGTCATGTTTTGGAAACCGGGAGGCTGAGACTGACCTTATGAAAAGATATAGGCCATGGAATTTTCAATTCTAGTGGCATTTATTAGTAATAGATAGTAGATAACTAGGGTACATTCTCTCCGTCCCATAGATACAGGGTATATCCATGGTAGCGGCACCGTATCCTAACGAGGATAACATACTTATACCCTTGAATTTAATAGGAAATGTATAATATTTACGCTAAGGCCTCGTTTGGATCTTTGGAATTGAACTCATTTTAATAACTATAATTTAGACACATATTAGTTAAGCTAATATGGTTGCATATGGATTATACTTGTATATTATTGTTAGCTATACGAGATAGATACTTATGTGTTATATTTCTACCGTAGAGGTATAGGGGAGCGAATTGAAGAGCGTGTTATAAGTTGTAAAATAGAAACATAGGATGGTGATCTATAGAATCAGTTTCTATTTCTCACCCTATGAATTTGAGATTGGCTTATATGTGAACTTTGAAAAGTGGTGGAATGTCAAATTCCAAGCCATGTAGCCTAATTTATTAAGTAGATTTTAATTCCTCCAAATAAAATGATCCAAACGGCTCCTAAGTAAAATTAGAATTGTTACGGTAGTGTTGTATTAGTTAATACAAAATAAATTTAGAAACAAAATGAGACTTGTATCGCCAATGGTGTGAACATCATATTTATGCTAACACTTTGGAGGTAGTCAAAGATGTAGACCTCTAATGATGTGGACATCATTTGTATGTGCAATAGATGCCAAGTAGTGTATGCAATTTGTGTAAAGTCATTTTAAGGTAATCATCAAAAGGTTATGTAGACCTTTGTAATTCACAAACAAATTGGGTACGCACGTTGAGGATAGTCACTAAGTCATGAACTAAGTGTAGATCCCGCAGTAGTAACTTGGTACTACCTTGTGTATAGCTAATAGGAATGCGAATTAATGGTAGTCATCCTGTGAAAAGATTTAGAGACCGTATTTTCCAAATTTTTATGTTGGGCACGCATGTTGATGATAGTCACTAAGTTAGAACTTAGTGTAAATCCTGCAGTAGCAACTATAATGCTACCTTGTGTATGGTCAACATACATTGTGGAACATTTGTGTTATACAATACAAATAATTGGTAATACACTTAATGGAGTTTGCAATAAAAATGTAAGCACTTTGAGCTTTAAATAAAGCATAAATGTGCTTAACATAAAATAAAAATTGCAAATAACAAAGTAATTGCAATAAAAGGGTCCTGATAATAATATTACATGTTAATTTATTGGGTTTGTGAATTTTGACAAACACTTTGAGCAATGTAATGATAATACTACATGTTTATTGGATTTGCCAATTTGGACAAACACTTTGAACATGTAATGTTAATAGTACATGTTTATTGGGTATGCCAATTTGGACAAACGCTTTGAACAGTACTAAAAAATCCAAAAAACATAGGATCTAGATAGCGAATTTACACGAGGTAAATTAGAACATTATGCAATGGCATAAGTTATAATGCAACTTCGGAAGATCAATGAGTCCTGAATGAATATTGCATAGGTAAATATGGTGCATTATGGTTTGTTTTTAGCCCAAGAATGGGCTCTGTTATATCTTTTGCATTGTTTTACAATAAATTTATAGGATATTTGGGACTAAAAACATAGAGGTACTAAAATATGGTACCTGAACTATTTCATAACCTTATCACCACAGGGATTATTTCACCTGGGGGAAAATTCATCGCTCCTTGCTCGCCCTTGATCTTGTATGTTGACCATGGAGGTTACAGTCGGTGTCTAGTCAGTACCGCTACACCTCCAAAAAGTCGATGTCATGGGCGTTTTGGCAGCAAGTGCCAGTGGAGCGTAGGATGTTAGGCAACACATGGGTTTGATTAGTGGAGGTCTGCACAATGACATGGGTGCCATTGTTCGGCGCATGAAGACGGCAATGGAGGTGCGACCAGTGAGTGCATGAAGACGCATCCCACCAACGTCGATAGTAGCGGACACAGTGGTGGCACATCACAGAGATAAAAGTGGCATCGATTAATTAATGAACTAAGGGGCCAAATCACGTACCTCGTGATGTAGTCGATGGGTTTGCATGTTATGGGTTTGTTATAGGGTGCGAACCATTGATATCTACACCATCAACGTTAATTAGTGGCAATGATGAATGATTACCTATTCCATTGTTGGTGAAGTAGACTTCATTAGAGCCCTTCCATCGTCTTGCGGACTTCATCTACTTCTATGGAATGGCCTTTGCCTCTCCCTTTCGAGTGAGTGCAGAACTGCAGATAGAGCGAAGCAGGGCGGTGATGGTAGGGAGGCCTTTGTGCCACTGTTGTTCTCGTTCTTGTTCGTAGAGCAAAGTGTTGATGATATGTTAGAAGTGAAATGTAAATGAACGAGTGCTTGAAAGAACTTGTGTTTTGCATTAATCTGAGACCGAATATTTATACAATACAAGGTGAAGCGGTGTGGTTAAAGGCAGTGGCGGATCTACCAGGGGGGCTGCCGGGGCTCAAGCCCCCCCTACAGCCGGCAAGCCCATGGAGCCCCCCTAAGCCTCTCCTAAAATTTTTCATCATTGTTGTGCCTTGAGAAGGAGAGGTTGCATGCGTAAGATGTGTCTAGAGGTTGAAGAAAGAGCTCTGGTCACGACTTGGGCCAGCCACTTGTATGTTCAGCCCTCTCTATTATATTTTCCTGGATCCGCCACTGGTTAAAGGGTGTCTTGTCACAAGAAGACAAGACAAACCATTCTCACTCTCTGCGCCAAATGACATGCCCCTTTGTGGCTATGTTAACTATCTAAGACAATTACTAATGCCTACTCCAATCTTAATGAGATCACCCCCGAAGAGGTGTCTATTTGGAGAGGCATTTTGAAGAGGTGCGTGTTCGAAGAGGCACCTGTTTCACAACATAATACTACGCTGAATTGACATAACTTGTCACAAAACTGCACTTCCTTTTAACTCTGACAACACAGTCACAACTTGTAAAATACCAATATTTTGAGCGTCATATCACCTTATGCCAGACCCAAACCAAGTTCATTTTAATCGCAAAGAAAATGTCTCACCTTGGAGCACTGTACTTTCAGATTGGATTGGTTCGATTCCCATAATAAATCTGAGAAAAATCGCCATTCCGCAGAACAGTGTTCCACTTGTGTTGATCTTAAATGTCTCTGGCACATCCAGGGTTGCACGTTTTGTTTTGTGATAATACAGGCCAAGTATGTGCAGTTACATGCAATCGATTAAAATGTACCAAATGAATAAATTTAGTTATTTAAATTTACTCAAACGAAACTGATACCGCTCTCCATGAAAATTCTGGACATCTGAATTTCCCCACAGTGGCCTTCTCTGGACAAAAGAACCATGTCCCAAATAACAGTATCAGCCGTTTACGGTCAAGTTCCCGTGGAACCACTCAGAATAATTATTTGGTTACCCTTCGCTTTCTAGCGGGAGTAGTGGTGCAGAACTTAACCCCACAAGATTATGTTGTTACATAAACTGGGCTGCTTTGCCCAGCCGACCAACAAGTCTCAAGCCACTACAAGCAATGAAGGCATAAAAGGTCAGACGTACTGAACCCCGTCACCCTCGATCACCTCTCCAATGTGACAAGCAGGATTTGATACATGGGTGTCTTCGATAATTCTGTCCGCTGACTCTCTGCTTACCACAAGAACCATTCCAATGCCCATATTGAATGTTCGCCGCATCTCTGCATCATCAATGTTTCCAACCTACAAAATATGTAATGATAGATGTTAAAGGTATCTAGATCTAGGTACAGAGTATCTATCCAGCACATGCAGATGCTGAAAATCATAGGTGAAGCTTGAGGATCATTTGTTCTTGCCTGTTGAAGCCAGTTGAAGACAGGAGGCACTTCCCATGACCCAGTAAAAATCTTTGCCCCGAGTCCAGAAGGAAATACTCTTGGGATATTGTCAGTAAAACCACCACCAGTGATGTGGGCTAGTCCTTTCACACCACCTTTCTTAATAATCTCAAGCACCTTTTTTCATTTCAAACAATTTAGATTAAAATTTCTGTAAAAGTCTGAAGGAAATATGAGATATAGATACACATAAGAAAACCCAACCTGCTTAACATAGATGACAGTTGGTGCCATTAGAGCTTCACCAACAGTAGTTGTTATGCCATCATTTCTTGGGAGCAGGTCACTCAAGGAAAGTCCGCTTTTCTCCAGTACCCTTGAAAATTAAGGATTTTCAACCATCATTAACCAGATACACATAATGTTCAACAAATAGGAAGTAGGAAGAGATAAATAAATAAATTCATAAATCCAATGATATATTACAGATTTGAAACAAGTGGAATTCAAAAAGGTACAATACCTTCTAGCAAGAGAGAACCCGTTAGAATGAACCCCACTGGAAGGAAGACCTATAAGGACATCTCCCTTGACAATGTTTTTTCCATCAATGACTTTATCCTTCTTCACAACACCCACAGCAAAACCACTTAGATCATATTCACCCTCTGCATAGAAACCAGGCATTTCTGCTGTCTGTAATGATCAATTATTCAATGATCAGTTCAACTGTTTTGGGCTTTTCATAAAAGTAATACACATGAAATGCTTCATGTGGATTCATTTGAATTGATATGGAATTAAAGGTATAAAAAGCAAAAATAATCAGAATATTTTGTTACACTGATATTATTAATCAACAAGCATAAACATTAAAATCCCTGCTTCTTAGTAAAGGGAGTTATGCAAATGATTCCAGATAAATAATCGAGCAAACAATTATAAGATAACAAACATGCAGCAATGGTAGACAGTCTGGCAGTTCGAGACATTTGATCCATTCATATACAGCTACTGAACTTACAAGGATAATACTGCAATACCGCATGGTTGAATTGCTAAGTCATGGTAGTTTAATTTCAGAAAATCTTACCTCGCCTCCTAGGAGAGCACAATCTGATTGTTCGCACCCATCCCTAATCCCCTTGATAACCTACATAATTTATACAGTACTTATGAGCAAATTGAGCAGAAGACCAAGTAAATAAGTATGAGCAGGGCAAAAATATTTTGTTTCGATGAGAAAACAAAATGTAAGTGCAAGCACCTTCTCCGCAAGATCAACATCAAGCTTGCTCGTTGCATAGTAATCTAGGAAGAACAATGGTTTTGCACCTAAAGTTACAATGTCATTGACACTCATTGCCACCTGCCACAATAACCTAAATCCATTCAATCAATCTGCGACAGAGATAAGGAAAACAGCGTACATCGCAACTAAGCTCATACCAGGTCAATGCCGATTGTATCATGAATACCAGTTTCAAAAGCAAGCTTCAGCTTTGTCCCCACCCCGTCGGTGCTAGCAACAAGATAATCGTCATCTGTTCAAATAAAGCAACAGGAAAGCAAAATTTCAGAATTAGCAGCGCAAGGAAGGATCCCAAAATTGGTATTATATTGCTGCATCAGGTGAGCAGTAGCAAATAAACCATCCAACTACATGGTCCAGACTGCAGACTTCTACAATTGTCGCACTGACATATCTCTAACAAGAGCGTTAAATTTGCACCTTTCACCAGCTAAAATTGATAATTAATTTACACTTAATGAACAACCATTCTTCACCCAACTTATTTTTGCACACTCCCTGCTTGAGTTGCAAATCACGGCACATGTAGAAGAATCCTCAAATAAAAAAAAAGTGGGTAAGTTAGCAGAGATGAAATGATGCCAGCGCATTACTGTAGGGGAAGAGACCGCCGAAGCCGCCAATCCCGGGTGCCATCCTGGCGATGCGGCGCACGAGCTCGGCGCCGGCGTCTATGTCCACGCCGGCATCCTTGTACGTTAGTCCTCCCTCCCCGCCAGAGCCAGCGCTCGAGCAGGATACGGACGCGCGCCGCATCCCCGCAGCACCCTGACAGAACTGAACGCGCTGCGTCTGTGGAGGACCCCAGCGAACCGCGCGGGTGGAGGCGGCAGCCGGAGAGCCTGCCGGCGCTCGGAGAAAGTGGAGGAGATGGTCGGTGGTCATGGGTATGGGAGGGGGATGCGCGTCGAGAGGAGGCCGGGAGGGCGGGGGGAGGCGCCGGCGCCGAAAGCGATGCCTTTGTAGGCGCGAGTGGAGGTGTCGTGAGTAGGGATGCGGCGGCGGCGGCGGCGCTGTGTTGGGCCGTGCTAAAGCAAGTGGCAGGTCAGCCCACTAAAACGAAACAAGGTTCCTTCGACCCAATAATAATAATAAGATTAAAGGGCCATTTTCGGTAAGGCCGTAATTTCGACAACCAACGCTCTTCTCGACCGTGAGAGCATCTTCATCCATCTTTTTTTAACCCACTCTCCAAATCTTTGTTTAAGAAGCCATTCCAATAAAAAGCATTCAATATCTCTCTCCACCCACCAACAATTTATCTCTATCTGATTTTGGCATTTTAAAGAGCCTGTTTCACTCTTTGTCCTTGACGAGCGATAAACTAGCTAGCTAGGAATAAAGCGTGATAGTATTTAGAGATTTAATTGAAAAAAGTTGTTGGTGAGGGGGTTTTTTCCACCAAAATATATATTACTATTACTATGAAAGTTTATAAAGAGACTCCTAGGGGCGTTTGGATCTCTTTACTTTGGAAGAATTGAAATATACTTAATGAATTAGGCTATTTGGCTTCGAATTTGACATTCCATAACTTTTTCAAATTCACAAATAAGCTTATATCAAATTCATAGGGTGGGAGATGGAAATGGATTCTATAGATCACTATACTATAATTCTACTCTCCAACTTATAGCACACTCTTCAACTCACTTCCCTATAATAGAAATGCAACATATAAGTATGTCCCTTGTATGTCTAACAATAAATATACAAAATATATTCTATATATACAACTATATTAGCTTAATTAATCTATGTCTAAGTTGTAATTATTAGAATAAATTCAATTCGAAGAATCCAAACGGGCACTTAGAGTTACTCTAAGGTGCAAGCCGAAGTTGTCATCTTCACTTGGGAGCAAGTCCCGATTTGTTCTATCCCTCTAGTCGCCTACGATTGTTTCATCATCATGATGCTCGTCTGCTTCCTCTGCCCCCACGGTGAATAACCAACATTAGCCCTGTTCGTTTGTTTTATGAGCCGTACTATTTTAGTGAACGAACAGTGTTTTTCTCTCACAACAAATCAGCGAACAGTACTTTCAGCCATGACTTTTCAGCAAAGCGAACAGGGCCATTAACATGGATCATCAACCTTTTCTAATCCCCTATGAAACCTTGACACTGGTTGTGCTTGGAGAGAGTGAAACGGTGACAACAGAAAAAGTAGGAGCCCCCTCTAGAGCCCCTAGGAACAAGGGCTTGAGGATGGAATTTAAGGGCCTCCTACTTTTGGTTTGAGTAGGGGCCTTATTGAAGTGAGTTTTTTTCTCACTAGCAATCAAAAGTAGAGTAGGAGGGACCGGTCTACTAAAATTGCTCTTAATTTGTTTATTTGGCAAAAAAAAAAAAAAATAATTACCCAATAGTCCTGTATCTCCCTACTTCCCCTCATCTCAAAAATATGTGTGTAATTTGCTATTTCTCTAGGCCCCACTGCACCATGGTTTTCGTGTGCTTTTTTCCTCTACCTAGTTTTTGCTCCTTTGTGCCATTTTCGAGTTTTAGGAAGTTAACTCGAAGATGACAAAAATAGAGATCCCAATTCATTAGTTAACCAGTACTCCCTCGTGCTAAATTATAAGAATTTTTGTTTTTTAATATATATAGCTTTTGCTATGTACTCCCTCCATTTCAAATTTTAAAGACACTTTGGCTTTCTAGATACATTTTTTTGCTATGTATCTAGACAAATACTGATAAGGATCAACTCACGGAAGGGTACGTGATGGATAGGATAAAACTAGAATCACTCAAAGATCACTCAACAAGATCAACTAGCACCGGAGATTACTCTATGGGTTTTTCAAAGAAGAGCCATGCTCAATTCTCACATCATATCAATATCAACCCTCCTTCAAACGATGGATTACATAAACCACTAGGAACATCCCTCCTAGTTAGGTGCAACATAAGCATAAATAAAAGCAAGTGGAAGGTCATCTTAATGGAGTATTTGAGGAATCTTCATTCATTCTCGCGTACCTATAAAAATGGAAAATGAAGGAGCCAAAGTAATGAGAAAATGACTTGTCACTGTGAAGCTAAAGGGTATCATACCCTGGGGATTACGAAATAACGAAAAAGTAAAAGTGACCGAGATGCAAGGGAAAAACTTTTGTTTCACATTTCCGGAAAGACCACCTATTTGTTCGTTTGCTAGGTTCAGCACGAAATCATAAATAAGCTCCACCAAGGATTGCCATGCATTTGGCACTGACTTTCCCCCTCCTTTTTTCATAACAACAAAAACTAGAAGTAGGACCAAACCGAGAGTGAGTAGCATAGACAGGGATAGATTTGTGAATGAGAAATAAAAGTTGCCTAAAGTCCAAATGATGCAACGTTTGATGCGTTGGAAAATAGATTCATATATCTTTCCAATGATATAGCATATGAATGCTGCAACCATAAATACTAATGCCAGCACGCCACAAAATATAGCAATGATTCTGTATGCTTCTCTTGGCCTTATCACATACCGACATAGTGTACATTTAAGTGCATAACAAATACTACGTATCTAAAAAATACCAAAACGTCTTATAATTTGGGAAGGAGGGAATATTTAGATATCAACTATGTTTAGACATATAGTAAAAATAATATATCTAGAGAAACCGAAGTGTCTTATAATTCAGAAATGAGAGAGTAGTTTTTTTTTTGATAAAGAGAGGGTAGTTTTTAAGGAGCTTAGAGATGCTGCTCTAACGTGGACCTTTTTTCAAAACAAGATTACCTCCTAACAAAATATGATTCGGCCCATAACTGGATCATGATCCGGTCCAGAAAACATTTGTTTCTGAGCTGCTCTGTTTCCTAATCCTAGGCCCTTGAAATCCTAATTGGGCAGGATTATAGTGCGTGTTTGACATACTATAATGGGCCCATAAACATACTAACACTCTTGGTAATGCTGAAAAAGGGGAAACAAAAAGTTCCTGTTTATGGGCTTCCTTGTCTCCCAGTGGACTGTAATGGGCTGGACTGCACTCGTGTCGCACTGTTTGTGCTGTTATACACCTCCTGTGTAAATAAGGCCGTTATCAACCATGGAGAAGACCCCACTACTTCACATAGGGTCGGCCCGGAAGGCCGGAAAGGCCATCGTTCGGCGCCGCCGCTCAACCTTCCGCAGTCGGCTACTCGGCTTTCGTCTTGCTGGCTGCTTCCGTCCATGCTTAGCGCCGCGCGCCAATGGAGCCAGTGGGCAAGCCGAGGACATACTTGTTCCCGTTTGGGGTTTCCCTGCACTGCGTCATGTTCCTGTGCCGCGGCTTGCGAGGTGCGTGCGATTCCTTTCTAGTTCTCCTTCACTTCCTACCCTTGCGGCGATTGCTGATGTGCGGACGTTCGATCTTGTCTTGTGCCTGGACGGTGAATGGATCGGATTAGTTGCATCTTGCAAGTTACAGTGACTGAACCGCTTAATTCAACAGAATTTTGGAATATTTAGGGATCTCCATTCCAATTTCCGTTCAATGCCATGGTCTACTTAGTAGGCATGCTATAGGTAGACCCTAACTATAAACAGAATTGCAGGTTAACTGAAACTTCGTAGCTAATTTACTGGAATCTCATGCCTGCTTGCACAGAAATGATGATCCCGTGTACGCTCGCATGGAAAGTTTGGTACTGTAAATTTTGGTAATCCGAAAATCCTTTTGATGAACTAAATAAGAAGGAAAAAGTATAAATCATCCATTCGAAAGGGTTCATAGCCATAGCGCTCCCCTTTAGGTTTTGATCAAATCAAGATATATACTTCTCCCGATTGCGAATAAATGTCCATCTAGATTTGTCCTAGGTGAATATTTTTGGGCTTCGACCATCATATCTAAAATTTATATAGATTGATTGACAAGACAAGGTTGATTCACTATGAAAAGCTTTCACCATATATAATTATTTTTTTAGAAAGGAATAATTATTTTCATTGAAGACAGATATTACTAGTAAAAGTTTTAAAGTTTGACTTAGGACAAACCTAGATGGACTTGTATGTGTTATAAGAGGGAGTAGCTTATGAGGCATGTGAGCATGTCTATAATGTGTTCAGTTCCACAGTTTATCAACTGATAATAGTAGCTATGGTTCTTTGTTTTGAAACAAGAACAGAAAAAGAACATATGCCATTCTGAATGAAATGAAAATTATGTTATTTCTTAGCCTTTGTGCACATGCCACACATCGCCACTGGTATGCAAGGTAACACAATAAAGTGAGCAAAGGTGATACAAGTGTAGGGACCATGGCGTTTGGAGAGACTTTATGTCAAAAGTACTGCACTGAGGATAATGACGAGTAATATGATCAGACTGCTGCTCATGTTTTTTCCCGTACACCTGTTATGACGCCTCCGGATACCAAGGAGTTATGTCTTAGTTGTTCATTGCATGGTTTGGATCTAACTAGATGGTCTGTCTCTGTAGAGAAATTATTAAATGAGGTCTGATCATTTATTTGATAACATAGAGGTAGTTGTTACAGTTTTGGTCCTGTTCGCTTCTCTTGTAATCCGTCTTTTTCGGCTTGTTTTTTCAGCCGGAACAGTATTTTTCTCTCACAACAAATCAGCCGGAACAGTGTTTCATCTTGTTTTTCAGCGAAGCGAACGGGGCTTGTCTGGTGGGCATGTCCTGATACCCTCTTCAACTTTATGCTTAAGATTTATGAAAATAGTAGTAATCTATCTGTAATTTTAACTATCATTCTCGTCTATTTGATCTTCATGAACAGTTCTTTAATCAGATGGTATCAAAGAAACTGAACTAGCGTAGACTGTACAACAGTAGCAAAGTGTTTCATCGTACTATTATTGGCTTGGCAGAAGGCTTTAAACTGGATGATCTCAATAGCATGATGAATTACCTGTATTAATCATGTTCCGTCGATTCCTGGTGCGCTAGGTGTCATGAACAGATCGTGCTTGATGGTAGTAGTGATGCCGACTGAAGGCAGCTTCACCGTGCGATGCAGACATTGAGCATCACGACAATTTTTCTTTCTCAAGGTAGGCAGTCACTGCACTAGCATGCCAGACCCTCCCAGTTCCACTTTAGCAGCATCATGCATATCGTACCGCCCTTGATATCTTGTCATCGAATTCTGGTGTGTCGTGTTTGATAGCCCTTAATAGAATTTGATACCTCTGATAACTTCAGGATTAAGATAACTTCTGTCCACAAAGCAGTCACATGGACCTCTGCTCTATTACTGTAAGAACATTGCAGACAACAGGTTTACCAGCACCAGATCAGATTCTCTTGAAAATGAAATACAAGAGCTGATTCTTGCATTGATTATTTGATTCACTGACGATCGCTTTACCTGACCCGGAAAGGGACTCAAACCATTGGAAGATGTGGCACTTCCAATCTCACCGGGTGACTGGGGAACATGTTGCCCTCTAAATGTGCCACAGATGGACGGACCGGGATCACTGACGCATGAACATGACGCAGCGGTCTATTTCTTTGCAGAATGCAGGGTCCTTGCTCCGAAAGCGACGGACATGTACTCTTTGGACCTCCCAACGGCTGCAAAACCTTGTGCACTCATCAGCTGACACCTGCATCTGCCGGTGTAGTTGCAGTACCACAGCAATAATTCAGCGTACATCATGTACATGGGGGCATCTTTGGAATCTGAAAGTAGCCAGAAGCATCCAGCAGCAGTGTTAAGATACATAATTGACCAGTCTGTCCTTACATCGATGCATAACTGACGGATTCTTGTGCCTTCAATTGCTTGCTTCTTCAGAGTTCAGAAATAAGACTGGAGCTGCTGCCGGTTGCTTTCCTGAGGATGGACCAAATTAAGTGTCTGGATCTCACTGTTGAGCACTAAAATACCTAGTCAGGACACAGTTATCGCGTGATGGTGCTTTAACCTACATCCAGTTATTAGGGAGCTTCACGGTTAAGCAGGGTTAAAGGATAATTCGTCCTTTTGATGATGTGGTGGCTTTGCAAGGTTTACCAGGTGATAGATACTTTGAATAATAAAATTTATCTGCCCTGTGTTTTTGGATTGTGTCAATCTTTGGTGGTAGCATGATGTTTTGTAATGTACTTTTGCTCTTATCAGATTGATTTTATGGTCATATGTGCACTGCTGAGATATTTTGATAGAGGTAAAGCATGAAAGGAACACTAGTGGCAGATCTTGTAACTGTTACGTCTCATCCTTTCTTAGGATCTGTTGACGTCGCTGCTGCTGCCAAATTCTTCTTTGGCTTTTTATCTGTCTCATTCTGTTCACTTTAATTTACAGAGAGATAACTGCTGCTTACCACTTATAGTTATTAATTTGGACAGCGTTATCGGAGCTATTTTCACTCTTATCATATCCTGTTGTGTCATGCTGTAGATGTTGATATTTGGTTTGGTCTTTAACCTTCAATCCTGCTGCTATAGCATTCAGGCATTCCACGTCCATCGTGTCTCGCATTACAGGGCTGGTACTGAGACCTGATGTTGGCTTCGATCTGAATCTTGTGGTTGCCCACAAAATAAACCTAGCCTGTTCGCTTGAACTTATCAGCCGGCTTATCAGCTAGAATCTACGATATTTTTCTCTCACATCAAAACAGCTTCAGCCGGCTTATCAGCCGGCTTTAACTCGTCTGATGGTTTACATCATGAGTGATGGTAGTTGTTTCCTTTCTGCATGTCCCGACAGTTTATGTGGTACCATGTTTAGGCAACTAATCCAACTACTATTTGGTCAAAATCAAAGTGCTAATCCAACTACTATTTGGTCAAAATCAGAGTGACGAATTATGTGGGCAAGAAGAGTTTCATGCTTTATGTGAAAAACTCCGGTCTGGACTTGTGGGCAGTTCCTAGTCCACTAGTGCCCTTGGAAAGCAGAGATTAAAGTCATCAAGGCAAATCAGCACCCTAACCTCCAAAATTTCCCCGTAACATACACGTGCCAAGTGCCAACGTGGCACATATGAACCTCTATGAATTGCTGCTTACTTGTGCCATATCAGAGTGCCAGTGAGGTATATTGTGTTATCGTGTGTGGTTATTGTTTATTCCTATGGATTACTGGTGAAAAGATAAAAGCACGATGGACGTAAAGAGATCGTGCACCGGAAGAAGGGTAGTCTTGAATTAAATCTGCCTGCCCTAACCCCAGTTCTTTTTATTACATCTTTGTCTACCTTAATTAGAATCAACAGCAAGGTTAGTTAATTATACCTTGTCACTGCTCCCTCTCCGGCCCAAATTACAAATCATTTCAACTTTCTTGGAGAGTCAAAATATCTAAAGTTTGACTAAAATTATAAAAAAAAATTACAAAGATTTATGACATCAAAAATATATATGAGATGAAAAATATAATTAATCAAGACCCTAACGATACTTATTTGGTATCATAAATGTTATTATTTTATTATATAAATTTGGTCAAACTTGATATGATTTGACTCTCCAAAACAGTTGAAATGACTTATAATTCGGAACGGAGGGAATAGTATTTTCATTCTTCTTCGTGGGAGAAAACCTCTCCATGAGCACCTTTTACTTCTCTATAGTTATAGGTTAGTCCTAAAGTTCAAAACAAAAGGGTTATACGACTATTGAAGCCTTGCAAAGAAACCAATTGGATTGTCTTTTTAATCTTAGCAACATGACTCAGTTTGATTTTGCACACGTTAGTGTGCTGTATTTCAGAAGTTGAAAGGTTATGTAAAGAGCAAAATACACCACTGGTCCATTAACTTTTACCTTTATGTCATCTAGGTCCACTATCTTTCGAAGTGCAGTTTTGGAACCCTATTCTTTTTATGTAGTACACTATGAGTCCATACTGGTACGGTTGAGAACAGGTTTAGATCCGACGTGGCACGTCCGTGGTGGTAGCCGACCTCACCTGTTTGTCACGTGCACGCCGGGGTGGGTGTAAATTTTGCAATCCCCCCTAGCCTTGTCTCTCCCTTTCATCCCCTCCACCCCAAAATCTCTAGCGCGTCGTCTGGAGGAGGAGGTGATCGGAGGAACGAGCCAGCAGCTATCGGCCTCAGAGGATCGCCGGTGACGCGCGAGCTCGTGGCGGAGAAGACATGTGCGGAGTGGCGCTGGACAATGCATTTCTTCGTGCCACAACGGCTTAAAACCGCAGCGAACAAGCCGTATAATGTTCCAAACAAATTTCTCGGTTGCAACAGGAGGCCTACTGGCTTTGAGAGAGAGAGAGAGAGAGAGAGAGAGAGAGAGAGCGCCTAGCTTCTAAGGCTAGCCTAGTTAAATAAGCTAACCCTCTTGTTTCTTTTCAAACCTATGAAATTCGTGTTCTCATCCATCCATGGTTGTCACTTTCACCAATTTGGTCTTCTCCCGCTGCTTCTCGAAATCGATGTTGCCGGCCGATCACACGACACACGAGATCTAACCAAGTCACCCTT